TTGCTTAATAGGAAAACCATCTTCAGATATAATGCCTAAGCCCAAGAGAACTCCCAAACAGAAGAAAGTAGAGACTATAAACTCTGATTCGGATTCAGAATTTGGCATTCCAAAGAAGACTACAACACCAAAAGGTGAGGATTATTTCCATGTAACCCTCAAACATGCCATGTGGAAAACATTTAGTCTCCTCTACTCATTGAAATTAGAAAGACTGGGTGAACCTATTTTATTTTAAGTTGCTTTACTCCTCCCTCAATAAGTGACTTATCTAAGAATCAGTGCTGAGTTAATCCAAAGAGAAGTATAGCAGTTTGTCTACCTAGGTATGGTTCAAAGACCCCCATGTAGTAGCCTCATTGGAAGTAGTTATTAAAATGGTAGGTGAGAGTGTAACAGCCACTGGAGTAGGCTGGAGTTAGGACTCCTAGAGCAGAGCTTTTTGCTGATCTAGGATGTGAAATAGCTGTGCTCAGGGAAGAGATGACTTTCTGTAAGGGTAGCTGTTCAACCTTTGATCCAGCTAACTATTTCTAAAAGTGGCAGTTATGATAAGAATACAGACCTACAGGGAAGCAAGAGAGAATAACAGGGTGGAAAAGAAACATTGTGATTGGGGAGGTCAATACTTAAGGTGTGCGTGGTTTGAAACCTTTATAAATACACTAACAACCTGGTGCACGGATTCGTGCACATTGAAAGGAAATTAGAAGGTGGCCGGCGAGACATGCCAGACACACCTTGGAGCCAACCTCCTGAGGTCCCTCCCTGGCTGTCAGTGCCATGACTCAAAAGGAGTCAACAGAGTAAGTGGGATCCTTCTAGCAGGTGTGGTCCCTCGGCCTGGCCTGAAGGGATCGGGCCAAAACCGGCTCTCCAACATCCCCCGAGGGGTCCCTAAGAGCGAGACCTGCAAAGTTGTCGTACAAGGGGTGGAATGCAAATGCAAGTGTGCAGGAAACCAGACTCGGGTCCCACAGTGCCTCCAACAACATAATCCACCGCCAAAGTGGAATCACATTTTCTCCTCTCATTTTGCTGTGCATCACCCGAGAACCACTACTGCCAAGTAACAGCAGCTCCTGCATTGAGCGTCTTCCCCCTGGTGGTCAGTGCATGTCATAGCGATCAGTTGTTCCATATTTCAGATTTGCATATTAGCCTTTTATTATACAGAATGTGCCATTTCATTGATTAATTTGATCAAATATGATATCCCAAGTTTATCTAGACTGTCTTTTCTTACTAGTAAATCTAACTCATCATAGCTGTTAAAGAAATTTTAAAAACTTAGAATTGTAGTTTAGTTCCATTTTCTTTTATTCACTGGAATCACTAGACTGGATTAAACATTACCTTTTCCTCCTCCAATGATGAGAATAAGAAATTAGGTAGATGAAAGAAAATAGGCTGCATGTGATAGGTAATTATAGATCTGAGAAGGAATAAAAATTTGATAGATTATTTCCTGGTAAACACCTAGGGTTTTATTCTAAGATTGTGCTACTTTAAGTGGGATCTATAATTGGTTGTTACTAATGTACAGTAAGTAAAATTTAGAGTAAGGATTTATGTTATAAGGTTATGTTGTTGCTGGGGCACTGTAGGACCCGAATTTGGTTTAACAAATTAAATCCTTTAACATAAATTATACTGTATTACATTTTATTTTATTTTATTTTATTGATTTTTTTTACAGAGAGGAAGAGAGAAAGATAGTTAGAAACATTGATGATAGAGAAACATAGATTAGCTGCCTCTTGCACACCCCCTACTGGAGATGTGCCTGTAACCAAGGTACATGCCCTTGACCGGAATTGAACCCGGGACCTTTCAGTCCGCAGACTGACGCTCTACCGCTGAGCCAAACCAGTTTCGGCCTATATTACATTTTTTAAAAATATTGGTCTATGGCAAATTAGAAACTAAATTGTTTTTCATCACATACAATTTAAAAAGCACTTTTTAAAGAGATTTTCTTTTCAGGTGCAAATATTTTCTTTTATGTATTGAAACTTTTCTTGAGGACCTTCCAATTAGTTTAAATATATTTGTGAAATACTCTTTAGTCTTGTCGATTCCAGAACTGAAATGATGTTGACGAATTGTTTCTACTTCATTCATGTTAAGAGATCAGGGGATGCCAAAGAAGTAAAGTTTTTATCCTTGTATATTGTACTTAACCTTGGGTGAAAAACCTTTTGTATAATTTTAAGGTAAAGGCCGAGGGGCAAGGAAAAGGAAAACGTCTGGCTCTGAAAATGAAGGTGATTATAACCCTGGCAGGAAAACAGCCAGACCATCAAGCAAGGTAACCGGGAGCATCTGTGTAATGCTGGTTTTGTTTAAGATGATATACAATGGGCTTAATTTGACTATTAGTATAATGTCTTAGAATAACTTTAAACCTAGCATATTTATCCTTAGGGGACTTGTATACGGGTAAAGGATTATCCAAGTCTAGATATAATCAGGACTGTTTCTTGGGTCAAGTGTGGTATAAATTATATACTATCTGTCTAAAATATTACTGTTTTCAGACCAAATAAAGGCTATTTCTTTATTTGATCAGGGCTAATTTAATCTTTAACTTAAATTTTCCTCACCCTTCTTCAGAAGTACACTATCTCTATCAGGTAAATGAAAAGCATCAGATGTCCCCTTCTTTTTCTCTGTCCATCAAAATTTTAAAATATAAACATAGGTGATTTTATGTTGCTTTCATACTGACCTCTTCTATCCAGTTTTCTTCACCTCTGGTCCATCTCAGTGACTCTTCTCTGCCTTTTTATAAACATAGTGTGCAGTACATACTGTGCATAAGTCTTGTTTTCCTCTCATGAATTCATATGTAATTACAGATTAGACAATTTGAATTTTTACTAACCTGGTCATTGTGCATATTTGCTGAGTGATATATAAACTCTGAAAGAAATAAGTAATTGTGATAAGTAATACAAGATTACCAAGGTGGCAAATTATTATACTTAATCCTTTTTTTTTCCTTCATGAAAATGATTAGTTAACTGGTCTTACCCTTAAGTTAACATTACAGTTCTAATCTTAAAAGCACCATTATTTATAATTCTCAAATTTTAACAGTTGTCTTTTTTTCTTCTTAACTCTGGGGTTTTGATTCTATTGTTTTAGAAACCGAAGAAAACATCTTTTGATCAGGATTCAGATGTGGACATCTTCCCATCAGACTTCGCTTCTGAACCACCTTCTCTGCCACGGACTGGTCGAGCGAGGAAAGAAGTGAAATATTTTGCAGAGTCTGATGAAGAAGATGATGTTGATTTTGCAATGTTTAATTAAGTGCCCAAAGAGCACAGAAACATTTTTCAACAGATAACTTGTGTTGTCTTTTTGTCTTCTCTGTCTCAGACTTTTGTACATCTGGCTTAATGTGATGATGTAATTGATGGTTTTTTATTGTGGTAGGCCTTTTAACATTTTGTTCTTACACATACAATTTTATGCTCTTTTTTACTCATTGAAATGTCATGTATTGTCTGATTGGCTTGTAGTATTGTTATAGACTGCCGTGCATTAGCACAGATTTTAACTGTCTTGATTGCAGACTACAGACCTGCTTTTTGAAATGAAATTTAAACATTAAAAATGGAACAGCTTTCTCTGCCTCTTTACTGAAAATGGAAGTGTAGTGAAAGCTCCCACACACCTTTAAAATAAATATATTTTATTCTTTGCCAGGAGACTCCATGGAAAAAGGTAAACAGTATATGAACATAGAAAGCATTGTTAAACAATCTCAATGTACAAACAGAGCCAGTGAAAATACATCACAGACTTGCTAAAATATAAAAACAAAACAAAACACCCACTAGTGCTTAAATGAAAACTAAGAAACTGACACTTGTATCTGTTAACCACTCTACCACAGCTTCCACTCTGCTTCATAGTGATTGAACAAGGTCAAAGGATGCTTACTCTCTGCCCATGCCACGGGAGTTAGTTTGAGCCCCTGGGCATCAAGAAGTCTGGAAAAACCCCCAGTATCAGGCATGAGCCAGGAAGGACACTAGTTACATGGTACAGGTGGTAGACCAGCCTGTTAATTATACCAAGACATTTCCCTAATGGCTTGTGAATAGGTAAACAAAAACTTATTAACACTGAAAAGTGTTTCTGCCTTGGAGGCTATCATTACTGTAAAAATGTATCTCTTTTTAAAAATCGTGTAGTTGTCATTAAACAAGTAATAAACCACTTTTAATTTAAAGTGACATTAACAATTGAACAATGACATCTGATTAACTGAACTGGCAGTTACACTGATACAGAATTCTCTTCTGCTAGGTACAGTGAATTGTATATTTTTACTGGGCAACATGAAATCAAGAGATGCACTTTGAAGCATCAGAGAGCAAGGACAAGCTTCCATACTAACTAAATTAGAATATCTTTAGCCTTGTCATACTGTACAATAATCCCATTTCCTTACCTTGATGTCTTGATTTTTCTGTGAAGGCAAGACAGTTACCTTTTGAACCTTTCTTAGCTGGACATGTACAGTAGTCTGTTTCATAACCTCGGTGTCTTGGCTATTTTGAGTATGCAAGACAAAAGGAAAGCACCAAACATACAGTATAGAAAGAACAGCCATATTTCTGTATGTACAAAGTCTTTAGAAACTTAACCAGGGCTTAATCATTTTGATGGGGTCTTTGCCATGCAAACTTGAGTGTTCAAAGAAGAAAATAGAAGCTTTAAACTGGTTTCTGGTTGCATGAAATGGCTGATGTTTAAAATGTAAAAAGTTCGTATTTCTAGGTAAGTTAGTGAAGAGTATAGTATATATGGATACATACGAAAACATCTTGGTCCTTCTTGAATTTTAATATATTTTCAGTCCAAAAACTAAGCAGCAGTAAAAAGGTTTTTTTCTTTCTTTCTTTCTTTCTTTTTCTTCTTCTTGCATTTTAAATCCCGGAACTGAAGGTACTGGGGAATGTTTGAAGTAGCTGGGAAGTGTCTTATTGCACCAGTGGTGACTGACTGACACCGCTGTTTTCCACTGAGCTGGGTGAGATGCTGGGACTGTGCTCTGCTGTGTTCCCACTTGAACTTGGGGTCAAGGGTTCATGTCCTTCAGAATTCTCCAGCATTTCCTGAATGAGAGGTGGCATTGATCCAGGAATTTCCATTTTCAAGGTAATTACACGTTCTGCACCTTTTAAAAAGAGATAATAGGAGTCTGGTAGAGATAAGGAGTGAAGCTGAATAACTAGGGATCAACCATCTACTAGAGGAAGGCTGAACATGGTGCTACCACGGCCTCCCCGAACCTGTGCAGATTTCACATTAAAATGTGTTTATCTGTAGATGTGTTGGCACGTTTAAATGTGATAATTCCATGCCTCAGTCCATTTCAGGAAACAATATTGGTATGTATGTGCTTAACATAATTTACAACGAGAAGTTCCTGATAACAGAAACAGTATATATTTTGAAAATGAGACAGTTGGAAGGACATCAGTAACCAAAAGATGAAGGAAGTGATTTGAGTGATAAAAGTGGGGTGAGCACATCAATTTGAGGCAGCACTGCACTGTTAATGCAGCTATTATTTAAATTTAAATTAGTTAAATGCGACGAAGAGAACAGTGCACAGTTGCATTAGCCACATTTCAAATGCTTGAGAGCCACATGGCTAGTGGCTACTCCATTGCACAATGCAGAGTACAGGATATTTCCACAATCACAGTAAATTCTATTAGCACTGGCTTAGCTAGATAGAGGATATGACCATATTAAGTTCAACAGCCTCACTGTTTAAAAATTAAAGACACAATTACAAGGTCAAGCACTGTTTGCATCTATCCTTAAGCCCAGGCTAGGGATGAGCTCAAGGTGTCCTTAAAGAAACCTTAGAAGGAGATCATGGAGTGCTTCAAAGCACTTCCCCGAACGTGTTTGTCATTGGTTCACCAAGGCCTTCTGGGATGACTATGCTAATGGAAAGGAGAATGACAACATTTGGTACTAGGGACGGCTACTGAGCTTCCTCTACCTAGAAAAAAATCTATGCTAACACTCAACTGTTGTAGGGTTCTGGGCCTAAGCTTCCATACTAAATATACCTGCTCGAATTGCCACATGAACTGAAAATCACTAGGCCAAGAGTACACCTCTCAGGAAGGCAGCAATGAGTAAATCCGGAGTAAACCTGCCCATTCATAAGAGAGCAATGGCTACACTGAGAAACTTCACCAACAACAACAACGATTGAAAGTACTATTCATTTTTCTTGAGGTTTGGATGTTCAGGTAAAACGAGTCAAGTTTACATACACCAGAACATGTGAAGAAAGCAGGAATGAAATATATAAAACCTAGAAAACTAAAAAGCTTGTCATAGCATCCATTCTCTTTTCCTAAAATCCTCGCCCGAGGATATATTCTACTGCCTAGAGAGAGAAGGGATTAAGACAGAGAAACATCAGTTACCTCCCATACGCACCTCCACTGGGGATTAAACACACAACCTAGATATATGCCCTGATCGGAATCAAACCAGCAACCCTTCAGTACATCAGACGACGCTCCAACCAACTGAGCCACACCGGCCACGGCTAGTATATCCATTCTCTTGAAAACAGTTTTTCTAATCCTTAGTCACCTGAATTGTAAAGCTCTCATCATCTAAGATTGAGGAATGTCAAATTTCAGATTTTCTTTTTCTTTTTTTTGTAAGGGTGGGCACTATTTCATTCCTTTTGATTTCAATGAGAAGTACATACTAAGATAAAACCAACAAGAAGGCAGCTATTGTCAGACATCCCGAATTAAAATACGAGGTTTAGGAAAGCAATACAACCTGCTCAGGACCGCAAAGCTCCAGGCCACATGGACAGCGGACCTACCTTTAGCGCTGATGCTGCGGAGATCTGTGATTTTCATTAAGATCTTTGGGAACATGTGAGGCTTGTTGGGTCGTCTCTTTCTTATATAAATTTTGAGGGCTTCCAACAATGGTTCTTGTAGCTTATCTACTTTTGTTGGTTCTTCAAGGTCCTGGCGGTCTAGACACCAGAAACAAAGTGTTGCACCATTAGTAGCAGGACAAAAAAGGGTGTCGCACTTTCCAGGATAGAGGATTCTTCCTTATTCTGACTCCATTATGATTTTATTAATTTGATGGCTCAGTTACATAGACGACCTCAAAGATATACACAACTGCTTTGGTCAGTGATACTTGAAAATGATTGTCCCCCTTGTTGGAGGGAGGCACCTTTTGGCGGCTGGTTGCTTTTGTCCCAGGGAGAGAACTACTTCTCGTGACCAGGAGGTGTCACTGCTGAACTGAATTAAAGCAAATCTTGAGCAGGATGGTTATGGAGGCAAGGTAAGCCGATCCCTAATTAGAGCCATTACTTTTTAGCCACTGTGACAGCCTCCTGCGAGCTGATAGGGGTCACTACAAAGCAGAAACCTTTATTTTATCCGAGTCCTCTAAGGGCTGGTAGGGGTCAATCTGATGACGTGTATTCCGGGCCACTAAGTTAGCACATAGCACATGCAATTCCTGGGAACATCATCAAAATGTCCCTAGGCCAGTGGTCGGCAAACTGCGGCTTGCCAACCACATGGGGCTCTTTGGCCCCTTGAGTTTTCAGCAAAGGCCAGCTTAGGAGTACCCTAATTAAGTTAATAACAATGTGCCTACCTATATAGTTTAAGCTTAAAAAAATTGGCTCTCAAAAGAAACTCCAATCGTTGTACTGTTGATATTTGGCACTGTTGACTAATGAGTTTGCCGATCACTGCCCTAGGCAGTTCATTTTGTAGTGTGATGCTACCTTTAAAACAATACCTGTGGCAATTGGGGAAATAGCATTTTGATATGTCAAAGCCGAAGGATCCCAAACTTAATTTATAACAATAATGGAAAAATGCAACAAACCCCAAGCATGCATGCCTGGCTTTATTCGCATGCCTTCTTCTAAGGAAAATATCTCCAAAGTGGAGATGAAGTTTCCCCCAGAAATGACAAGTGCAAGTTGTTCCTGGAATCCCCTGAGGGTTTGCTAGGTAGTCGGTTACCTCCACAGATTAAGCAGATGGCACTGAGAAGGCCTGTTTCTGTGTCATCCATTTCCAAAGGCAGGAGCTGGTTGGCAAAGGTGAACACAAGGTCCGTCAGAGGACCAAATCCAGCATTGTGCATCTGAGTTCGATTTAGGGTAAGGCCATCTGAAAAAGTCATGGTGTCTTGTTCTGGGGTATACCTGGTGCAAATTCTGAGAATCTGGAAGAAAAACCAAACAAACAGATTGGATGGATCTTCAAAACCAGCCTGTCCTCACAGCATCCATCAGCTCTGGGCGGGAGGTAGCATGAGGATTTCCAAGGTGCTCCCACATCCCAGGAGGCGCTCGGACCCCTTTTCTGTTGTTGAGTGTCTCCTCAAACTCTTTCATTTAAAGACTCTAGCTTCACGGGCTGAAGTTATTTTAGAGAATAACAACTAAGACACAAGAAATCTCTGTCAAAAAGTAATCTATTGGAGTCAAATAAACATTTACCAAGGACCCACTTATGTCCTAGGCACTATGCCAGATGCTAGGGATAAAAAAAATGAATGAGATTCTTTTTTAAAAAGAACTTACAGCCTACAAAAAAAAAAAAAAAAAAAAAAAAAAAAGGGAGGGGGGGAGTGTCAATAGCTAATGTATTAAATACCTAGTGTATATTAAGTATTACACATGCCGTACATTAAATCTTGCAAATGCGTCGGTGAAGTGGATATTATTTATATATTACAGATGAGAGACTGAAGCTCAGAAGTGTTAAGCCACTTGCCCAGTGTCACACAGTTGACATGTGGCTGCATCGGATTCAAGCCCAGGCTAGGCTCCCTCTTACACTGCCTCTGACGCCCTGTCCCACAGACAACCATGACTCAGGCGCAGGAGCCACCCGGCAGGGAGCTGGGAGCTCAGAAGGGAGCTTGGACAGAGCCAGGATGAACCCAGAGCAGAGGCAGCGTTGCAAGAAAGCCAAGATACAGGGGCGGAATTTCCATCATCAGGAAGCCTGGCTCACCCTGCCACCGTCTCCCAATCCTACCCGACAAATAGCCCTGCTGTTCACCCTGGGTGAGTGATCAGCAAACTGCGGCTCGCCAGCCACATGAGGCTCTTTTGCCCCTTGAATGTGGCTCTTCCACAAAATACCATGGATGGCCTGGGCGAGTCTATTTTGAAGAAGTGGCATTAGGAGAAGTTCAAGTTTAAAAATGTGGCTCTCAAAAGAAGTTTCAATCGTACTGTTACATTGGCTCTGTGGACTAATGAGTTTGCCCACCACTGCCCTAGGGCACCTGCTGCCAAGGAGTCACCTGCTCCCTGCACGGTGCCACCAGAAAGCCCTCCTTCTGTAGACCAACAATCCCAGCTCGCTCCCTGCCCCGTGGATGGCAACTGCTGGGCAAAGTCAGATGCTCAGTATCTATGGGCTCAAAACCTCAGACACCGGTCCGGCTTGGAATCGAATGGGAACTAAGTGAGTCTTTGCACTTCAGCACGCTGCCAAGATGGGACTGCGTGAGCTCTGTCCCTGCAAGCATGAAAGGAACCGGGGCTTGTTGGGAAGGAACGGGAGGCCAGGATTTAGACATCTGTGACCTGTCAGTGGCTCCCTTAGGCATCCAAGTCCAAACTGCAGGGCACACACATCTCCGTCCTACCATCCTCCTCAGGAGGGTTTTCCTCCTGAAAAGCTGCAAAGCATTTGGATTCTGATGAAGCCTTTAAACCATGCCCAGTTGCTTCTCTCCCTAGAAAGTCCCAACCAAAGCCAAGTGCAAATGGGCTGCCCTGAGCGGAAGGTGCATGGCCTGAGATGGGAGAATGTCAACGTCTTAGCCAGCGGCCTCCGCCCCAGTCCTGCCCCGCCGGGCCCCCTGGGCAGCAGAGGTTGCCTAGGGAGGGAAACGGTGTGAGCTCATGGGAATGGAATGTGTTCCCTGAGGGACCTGCCACCTGCCTGCTGGTCCCCGGGGAAGGACGTTGGTGGCTCAGGATCTGGGCCCATGGTTCCTGTTTCCAGACCAGCACACCAGGAGCCATTGTTTTAAAATGTGAAGGGTATTACGTGGGAATAAGTGGAATGGCCTATTTTATGGAACCAACTTAGATCCAAAATATTTTGGTTTCCACGCATAATCAATATAAAAACAATTAAAGAGGCATTTTTACATGTGTATACAAGAAGTCTTTGAAATCAAGCGTGTATTTTTACTATTACAGCAAGCACTTCCTATGCTCAGCAGCCACAGGTGGCTCGTGGCTCCTGTACTGGAGAACGCACAGGTCGTGTGTGTGTGTGTGTGTGTGTGTGTGTGTGTGTGTGAGCTCAGTACAGCCCATGAGGACAATCTGGGCTAACCCAATACCGATACTCACAGCAATTAATTTAAAGGAGTACTTTGCCTGTGCCAGGTACTAAATGCTTCACATGCATTAACCCAACCAGCTGTCCCAGCCACCTTATTACCATTATACCCATTTCTCTGAAGTTATAACTGAGGCTTAGTTACATTGCTTCCTGAAATTCACAGCTCCAAATGACAGATCTGGGCCTGGAGCCTGGGAGTCTGGCTCTGAGCCTCTGAACCACTGGCCTCTGAACCACTGACCGACTGCCTCAGGGACTTCTGGTGACGGTGACCTCCCCGGTAACTGCCCCACCCCACACCCCAGCGGAGAAGGCCAGGACTCAGACCCAGACCCCGCCTCCTCCCGACGGCCCAGTGGCCAGAGGCGATGCCGAAGCCTGGACCACGCTATGGGGCTCCAGGCCAGAGCTCGCTCCTTGCCAGGCTGAGGGAGGGGGGCCTGTCTGCTGAGTCCGGGGAGGCAGGAGGGTCAGGGCCCTGTGGGAACGGCCCTGGGTGGCAGTACAGTCACAGGCCCGGGGACCCCAGGACCACAAATCAGCTTGGCAGGCAGGCAGGCAGGCGGTCACGTTTGCGTCACAGGAAGCAAGGTGCTGCTGGGACTGGCGTGGGAATGTTTTCCTGGCGGGAGTGAGGGCAGCAGGTGGCAGGTCCTGGGGAAGCCCCGCGTCCCACAGGGCAAGACCCCACCCTGGAGGCCTCCACACGCAGTCCTCGGACGGCAGCCCGTAGCCTGAAATTCCAGTTTGGATCTTCAGCTAATTTGCCCACGCACCCATCCACCCATTCACAAATATCTAGCAGATGCCTCGTTTGGGCCTGGGATTCTGCCACGCGACCAACCCCGGGGTGGCCCTGCCCTCGCTGAGCCAACGGTCCAGTGTAGACACCACCAGGAAACACGGTTCTAGCTACAATGGATCTGAAGCGCAACCGAGAGTGTGTTCCCAGAACAGCACCAGCCCACAGGCAGGCGACAATCAGGACAGACCATGCACAGTGCAACGCTTTGGTGGCTGAGAAGGGGTGGCACTAGGTTCCAGCTAGTGGTACCACCTCGACTTTCCCTTCCAGGAGCTGAGAAGTACCTCAGCTCCTGCCTGTCTGTCCTTCTGGTCTGTCTCCCTCTATCCACACATCAATGGCGTAGCTGAGAAGATGCTTCCCAACAGCTCAGCCAGTTGACATTCTCACGCAATGAGTGCTCTTTGAAGCTGTGCACTCTCAGGATCTTGGCATTAATTGCCTTTGCTATAAATTTGTGGGAGCTCCTGTCTGGGGCCAAATTAGCATTTCTTCTGCCTTGTGTCATATGACAGGGAAGTCTCTGCCCTTCTCAGGGATTATGCCAGTTTTGTTGCTGCTTTCAGAATCCCTGACTGGGGACCTACTGCATGTCCCATTATGTTCATAACCTCATTTAAGCCATTTAAGGGACTTGGTGCCAAGGAGGTGGCAGGAAGAGAGATCAGGGAACTGGAGCCTACGGAGGTCTTCAAAGCATCTCCGTCTCCGATTCCGCCTGCCCCGAGCCCCTTGCTAACAGGTCAGAAGGGCACCTACCAGGATGTCCAGGCAGGCGGCCTTCAGCAGGGTGATCTGGTCTGCAATGGTCAAGCTGGTGAAGCCTGGCAGGCGTTTAGCAAACTCCACGATCTTGATAATGCACTTGGTGGCCAGTTCACTGAACTTGTCCCAGAGGCCCAGGTCCAGTCGGACTCGATGGTCAGCACTGGAATTCTAGGAGGGAGAGAAGACACCACAGTTGCTGGGGAGACCCGTGGGAGGCAGGAAACTCAGCACATTTCCTGATAATGCGCCTGCACGTCAGTCTTAATCAGGGAGCGTCCTGGTGGTTTGGCGAGTTTTCAGCTTGGATTTGCCTTTTAAAAATGCTCAAAATCTTATTCCTTACCACCTGATCACCAAATGATAGGTGAGGGGGATTTCTCTTTGTGCAACTATCCTATATAATAAAAGTCTAATTTGCTAAGTGTCTGGTCGTCCAGTCGGTCGTTCAACCAATCAAAGTGTAATATGCTAAGGCCACTCAACTGATTGATATGATGTGCACTGACCATTAGGGGGCAGAAAGTCAACCAGTCACTATGACGGGCACGGACCACTAGGGGGCAGATGCTCTAACTAACTGGAAGGTTAGCTTGCTGCTGGGGTCTGGCCGATCAAGACTAAGCAAGAAAGGCCGGGCATGCCCTCGAGCCCTCCCAAGGTCCCTCCTGGCTGGCCAACCTCCCGCATCCCTCCCCAGCCTCAATTGTGCACCGGCGAGGTTCCTTGGCCTGGCCTGCACCCTCTCGCAATCCAGGACCCCTCTGAGGATGTCTGAGAGTGTGTTCCACTCCAATCCTGCAGGCCAGGCTGGGGTCCCTACTGGTGCACAAATTCGTGCACTGGGGCTCTAGATCCAATAATAAATGCCAGAATAATGAAATAAGGAGTCACCATGTTAGAACTCTGATGAATGACTGGCTCTAGGCACTGACCATCCAGTAGTTGCTATTATCTTAAAAAGAGGCAGCCTGCCAATTGGGTGTCCTGATGGAAACACAGACCACCGCCTCTGAAACGTCAACCCAGAATCACAGTGAGCATCTATAGCTCTAATTACAGGAAAGCCAGGAGACAGAGGAGCATGTTGAACTACATCATTCAGGATGTGACTGTCAACACCCAAGAAGTGAGAGATCCCATAAACCCAAAGGACTGCTTTCTTCAACAGATACATTGCCAGGGGAATAAAGAAATGGAAAGGGAGCCGAAACCGGTTTGGCTCAGTGGTAGAGCGTCAGTCTGTGGACTGAAAGGTCCCAGGTTCGATTCCGGTCAAGAGCATGTACATTGGTTGCGGGCACATTCCCGGTAGGGGGTGTGCCAAGATGTAGCTGGTCGATGTTTCTCTCTCATCGACATTTCTAGCTCTCTATCCCTCTCTCCTCCTCTCTGTAAAAAAAAAAAAATCAATAAGATATATTAAAAAAAAAAAAGAAAAGAAATGGAAAGGGAAACCTATAGATTAACAATAGCTCCACCCAGAGGCTCATTAACTGATAAATGAATAAGCTGTGACACACCAAGCCGCAGAGGGCTAGTCAGCAATGATGACAAAGGAAGCTTATATCTGACTGCATATGTCTGCCAAACTCATAAGACTACACCTTTAAAAAAGATAAAATTTGCATTGTTCATTTGACTTGACTTTTTTTTTTAATTTATTTTTTTTAAATATATTTTTTATTGATTTTTTTTACAGAGAGGGAGAGGGATAGAAAGTAAGAAACCTCAATGAGAGAGAAACATCCATCAGCTGCCTCCTGCACACCCTCTACTGGGGATGTGCCCGCAACCAAGGTACATGCCCTTGACCGGAATCGAACCTGGGACCTTTTAGTCCGCAGATGGATGCTCTGTCCACTGAGCCAAACCGGTTTCGGCTTGACTTGACTTTGAGGTTGACATTTCATAAATTATAACCTGATAGATTATAAAGAAAAAAGGGAATGAGCATCTCTTAATACTATATTTGTAATTTGGACCTCTGAAAAATTTCTCTCTACACATGTACAATGGTTTAGCCCATTTTTGCAGAAGAAGAAAACACTGCCTTACATCCTCAGTTATAGTGTAGGTAGCCTATGCTTTGGATTTTCAATATATGTTGCTCTACTGGCATGATGTCTGTATATATTTCCCTAATGGTATATAATAATTTCTACTCGTCCATAGATGCTGGTATTTCCTGTACTGAATATAATGAGGGGGGAAAATATTTCAAAAATTGGAAAAAATAAAACATTAGTAAAGAATTAAATATGTAAGTAAACAGATTTTACCTTCAGCCCTTTGCAGCCCAAATCAGGATCCCCCACCCTTGCATTGCCCCCCCCCCACTTCCTGCTCGATGTTTATGGCACCGACCTCCTAACACACCCTGCCAGGCACTCATGACACAGGGCTTCTTGTCTCATTTTTTAAAAGATATATTTAATTGATTTCAGCAAGGAAGGGAGAAGAAGAGAAAGAAAGAAACATCAATGATAAGAATCACTGACCGACTGCCTCCTGCTCGCCCGCCTACTAGGGATCGAGTCTGCAACCCAGGCATGTGCCCTTGCTGGAACTGAACCATGACCTCCTGCTTCATAAGTTGACACCCAACCACTGAGCCATACCTGCCAGGCTTGCCTCATTTTTCATTCCTGTCTCCTGCCTACAACAGTGCCTGGCGCATGGCACTTAAAAGACATATGAGCTGAATGAATCAATGAGTGAATGAAGTTCCCATAAACCCGTGGTTATTTAAAATGTCTCAGGATGCCAGAACCGGTTTGGCTGAGTGGATAGAGCGTCGGCCTGAGGACTGGAAGGTCCCAGATTTGATTCCGGTCAAGGACATGTACCTTGGTTGCGGGCACAAACCCAGTGGGGGCTGTGCAGGAGGCAGCTGGTCAATGTTTCTCTCTCATCGATGTTTCTAGCTCTTTATCCCTCTCCCTTCCTCTCTGTAAAAAAAAAAAGCAATAAAATATATTTTAAAAAATAAATAAAATAAAACGACTCAGGACAACTAAGGTTTTGAGGCAGAGGCTCTCCTAGGCTGGGGCCTGGGCCCCTCCCAAGGCCTCTGTTGCCTCTGAAGGTGGATCTGAGCTACCCAAGGAAAGGAAAGGCTCCAGGCCTGAGTGGGGCCTGACAGATATCAGTTAAGCGTACCATGCACCCCCCCACCCACGCCCTCAGTTCCTCCCCTCAGTGGAAATCAGTTCACGGAGCCGGTAAAACCAGCTCCTGCCTTGAATGCTGGTGAGCAAAGCCAGAAAGAAAGGGTGGCAGCATAAGGAATGCCAACCGTGCCCAGCGAAGCCGGTGGCCAGCGCTGCCTTCTGCGCTGCTCCTTGCGGGGAGCAGGCGTGCTCCCTCCAGATTTATGGTCCTCCCTCCTCAAGGGCCCTGGCGGAATGCAGTGCACTCGGGGGAACGTAAGATCAAGATGTGCGCCATTCGGGCTGTAATTAAATTTAATAGGCAGTTTATCCGGTTGGGAGGGAGGCGCGATGGAGGGGGGAGAAGGGGGAGGAGGGGCGCGCCTACTGGCGGGGGAATCATCCTGCAAGGGAGCATCCATCCGGAAAGAAAGACATCGGCTGGCCCGGCCAGTGTGAACCCATCAGCGTCGGAGGAGGTTACTCCATCACGCCCGGGCCGAGAGGGAGCGGCCCGTGGCGCCTGCTATTAGAAATAATGCACGGCCGTCTCCGCGGCATGTAAATCTCGCTCACCATTATGCAAACTGAAGGGAAGAGGCAGTTAATAAAACACAAAATAACCCGGTGTTTTATGGGACTGCGCGCTGGATTCATGGGCGCGAGGCTGGGAACGGCTTATATATTATCTCCCAGCTGCGGGCAGCGGACAGCGGCCTGGGTGGCTGGGGATGGAGGTGGCTGGGGGTGGGGGGTGGGGTGGCTCGGAGACTCAGAGGACGGGTGGGTTTTTTCAGCAGCTTTTCTGCAACCAGGGTGGGAGGTAGGGGTGGGGAGTGGACAGGGAGAAATGGGGTGGAGAGGCAAAGCAGAAGGGGGGGGGGCGAGGCAGGCCTCGAACCCCCTCTCCAGGCAGTAGTCCCAGCCTCCTTCCCAGAATGCTGTGCAGCAGCGGCCCAGAGGGAGGGCTCACCCTGGGGACCCCTGTAGCAGCAGCAGCCACGCCCAACTCCGCTCTGAAATCCCCTCAAAGGGCCGTTTTGTCAGCAGCCCAGTCCCTTTCTGCAGGCTGGTCCGTCGCTGTTTTTCCAACCGGCCTTGCTTTCAGGACAAGACCCAAAAATGCAGGTTGGGTGGGAGGCATCATCAGTATCCTCAAAATCCCATGTGGCAGCTCCCAGGGTGTAATCAAAGCTGCTGCTTGCTCTTTTAGGCTAAAGAGGAACCTGCACTTCTTCAAAAGGAAGAGGCATTAGTCAAGGTTCCCTGGGAATGCTGGGCACCCGCTGAAGTGGCCCCCTTCCCCTGGGCCTGCAGTCTTCGCCCTCCGACCATGCTGGTGCCCTTGCACATTCTGGCCCTACCCTCAGCCTGTTCTCTCTCTCCCCCCAAGGTTCCGTCACCCACATTCCATTTCTCTCTGTCTGGGTTTCTCATGGAACAGCCCCTTGGTTGGGCTTACCGCAGCCAGGCGCTCCCTTTCCTTCCCACCACGCCCTCCTGAGTCATCCCTAGTCCTAGCCCTGACCCTGACCCTGACCCTAACTCTAACCTCCCCCTCCTCCCTGGGAGGCCGATCAACCTCCGACCTCCGTGTGTCCGATTCTGATTCTCAGCTGATCACAGTGTTAGTTGCTAAAACAAAAGCCAAGGTCACTCGTGGCTGGGACATCTCACAACATCCTTCTTTTCCAAACGCTCGCCTCCTGAAAATCTCCTTCTTTTCCAAACGCTCGCCTCCTGAAAATCTTTAGGAGCGTAAGGATTCTGCTGGTGCCTGTCGTTTCCAAGTAGACCCGTAGTCGGCAAACTCATTCGTCAACAGAGCCAAATATCAACAGTACAGCGATTGAAATTTCTTTTGAGAGCCGAAAACCGACTTCTGCGCAAGGGCCACGAAGTTTCAATCGCACTGTACGTGGGCGCCCGCATATGGTATTTTGTGGAAGAGCCACACTCAAGGGGCCAAAGAGCCGCATGTGGCTCGTGAGCGGCAGTCTGCAGACCACTGGGGTAGGTTAAGACTCCTTAAGTCTCCAGAGCTCACCCTCACAGCCCCTTGGAGGGCAGCCGATGACCCATGAAGCTCTGTAAGGCAATGAAGGGCCCACATGCAGGAGCATACGCAGCTGAGCTGACAGCCACCCACCCCTTTATTTTCCCAGTAACCCAGGAGGTAGGTACTATTTAAACCCCACTATACAGAGAGGGAAGCTGAGGCTCCATGAGGCTCCATGGTCATGAAACTCCTAAGTAGCACAGGCAACACTTGAACCTGGGCCTAAGCAGCCCCAAAGCCTAAATGAGGTCGTGGCTAGGGTTTGTCCTAAGGAAGCAGAGTTAAGTGTCCTCAGAGCCGGGAGGTTCCCTCTGGTTCACACCCTCATTCCATTTTGGAGAGCTCCATACAGGAGCCACACCCCCGCTCCCCACCTTTCTACATGGAACCCCCTCCCATCCCTTGTGCTTGGAGGGGCCACTGGTTAGAAATCTTCCCAAGGACTCTAGCTCTGAAGCGCCCTCTGCCGAGGGCCTGGGCACAGAAGGTGGAGGGCATATGTCCCTGCCTCCCCTCCCTTCCCCATGGGCCTGCCCAAATTAGGGAAGAAGAAGAAAGTGCCATCTCTGTAGGTGGGCGGCCAGCTGCCTCTTCAGTTCCTCTCTGCCTACGTGTTCCCAAGGCATCCGGCAGAGATGCCAGGCTGGCGAAGGTGGCAGGGAGTGTCCTGGCTGTGGGAGCCACCACCTATCTAAAAAGAGCTCTCGCTAAAGAATAAAAATAAAAATGCTCGCTCGAAACTTGCCGAGAATGTGTTATGGCTGCTGTTATGTATTTATACCCCCAGCCACTTCCAGAAAGGATTTGGAGCAGCTTATGATAAAAACAGGGCTCGGTCTGTGTGCAGAGAGCAGAACCCACGGGGCATCCGGCAGCCTCGCTCCTGCCAACGGGCCACACGCACCAGAGGGAGGCTGGCCTCCCGGGGCTGTGGGACCGGCCTCTGAAGATGGAACTGGGTGCTGCCCCTTTCCCTGATGGGCACGAGGCGCAGAAAGCCCCTGCCATGTGCTTAGAACAGTGGGCCCGTCAGGGGACGGACAGGTCTTGTCCCCAAAGCAGAGTGAATGGGAAGGGGCTCTCGATGCCCCCACCTTAAGGCAGAAGCAGACCCCAAGAATCACTTCACACCCCCTGCATCCACTGTTCTTTTCTCTACCTGGCAACACCGTTTCATCTCGTGTCCTGGCCTTTCATACTGTTCTTTTCCTAGCACACCAGTCACCAAACCAGCAAGTGCTGATATATATGCATTTTAAAAAATATATATTTTTATTGATTTCAGAGAGGAAGGGAGAAGGAGATAGAAACATCCATGGTGAGAGAGAATGATCAATTGGCTATCTCCTGCACGCCCCCTACTGGGGATGGGGCCCACAAGGGCATGCGCCCTTGACTGGAATCAAACTTGGTACCCTTCAGTCCTCAGGCTGATGCTCTATCCACTGAGCCAAACCAGCTAGGGCTATACTTGCATTTTTTAAAAAAGTATGTTTACTAGCACCTAGGCAAACAACATAAGCCACTTAAAGAGGCCAGAATAGTAGTCTAGTGATATTCATTCATTCATTCAACAAATATTCACTGAGTGCCACACACTAGGAATATACATCAAGGAACAAATTATGTACGATATATACGCTTTAAAAATTCAAGTACCTCATGACGTCTCTACCAACCAGACCAGAGAACATACGCCTCCGACCTTTGCTCCCACTTCCTCTCCCTCCCTCTTCTCTCTATTTTAGCCTCAGGGAGAGCCCTTCCCAGCAGAACACCACCTCCCTACCTGGGGAAGGGCCACTCCTATTTTATGCTTTTCCAGGCCTTGGTTTACGGGTGATACACAAGCCAGACTCTGGCCCAGGGGAGGCCCCGATAATCTTGGGGGATCTTACACGTGGATCGGTGTTTATAAGAGACTGGCCCCTTATCCCCACCGGGCTCTGTACGTGTGTCCGCTGTGACCCATGGAACACCTACCTCCCTGCTCTCCTTCAGCAGACCCGAGTCCCTGCCAGCAGCAAGCTTACCTTCCTGCTCATGTGGCCAGTGCCTCCAGCACGGCCTGGCGCACAGGAAGTGCTCAATTCCAGTTTCTCCGGGGGGATGCGTGCCCTTGTGACTGATTGGAGGAAACGCCTGCCTCACAGAGAGCGTCCAAGGGCGACTCCAGGAAGGAGGTGGGTGCCCCTGTGCAGCCCCAGGGCCAACAGGCACATCCTGGGCAGAGTTTTGCGGGGGGTGGGGTGGTGGTGGTGGTGGTGGTGGTGGTGGTGGTGGTGGTGAGGGGGGTCCTCTCCAGGGCCAGGGCAGAGCCTGTGCATGTGTGCATGTGTGTGTATGTGTGTGTGTGTGTGTGTGTGTGTGCGCGTGCGCGCGCACGCATGTGTACATACGTGTCTGTGCCCATCCTACAGAACAGCAGCCCGGGAGCAGGGAGCGCCTTACCGTGGTGTACTTGCCCAGCTGGCAGAGCGAGGGGAAGGTTTCCTGGTGCGCTTTTCGGATCTTCTCTGTGAGATCGTCCAGCTCTGCCGTCATTTCATAGCTCTCCGTGCATTCCTGCTTCGTCGGCTCCTTCTTCTTCTTGTTCCTGTCATTCCTGACAGCTGGAAACGAGAGACAAGGCACATCAGGGGCACTGGCGGTGGGGCCCGCACTGCTGAGCTGGGAGGACCCGTCCCCCCACGCCTCGGGTTCCTTGGACACTGGGAACAGGAACAGCGGGAAAAGGTGCTGCAAACACATCTCCCGAGGAGAGAGGCTGGGGGCTGGGAGGTTGCAGAGCAAGGGCTTGCCCTTCTGAGTGAGCACATGTTGTCCTGGAGGAGGGCGTGGGCTCGCCCAGGGGGCCGAGAAGCTAACTGTGTGGAGAGAACTGGCTTCGTGGCCCGGGCCTCACAGAGAGCACGCTCCCCAAGTCCAGGGTGAGGGCCCAGAGGCATCACAGAGGAACCTGCCTGCCTGGGAGACCTGTTTCCAAACAACACGGCGGGGGAGTAGGAGGAGGGAGACATCATCCTCTGTGATTCCAAACTAAGCTTTCTGGTCTGACACTTTGCTTTTCAGTTTTCTGAGTTCATTAAGTGGCACTTTTGGAAAAATTCCTCTTACAGGTAATGGGATTATAGTTTTTGTTCCTTCATGCTTTTCTGCTCCCTAAATTTTCTTTATCAATCGTATGTCTCATCATTTAACAAGTTATTTAAACAACAATAATTTTGAACTCCCAGCCTGGACAACCATTCATTCATTATTCATTCACTCACTCACTTATTCACCCACAGCCACTGCACAGCTTGTCTGGCCCCTGGCCCTCAGCAGGTGTGTCTTGGGCCCCACAGGCCCCACCCAGCTCAGCACCGGGCAGAGCCGGCCCCCAGGACCCTGGGGCAGTGGAAGCCGGAGCCTCCTCTATTTCTGTAAGATGCTCAGAATAAGCACATTTCATAGCCAGAAAGCAGACCAGTGGTGGCCCAGGGCTGGGGTGGCGGGTGGATGGGGAGTGGCAGCCAGAGGGTATGGGGTTTCTTTTTGGGAGGTGATGAAATGTTCTAGAGTTGGAACATCCTAGCAGCTGTACAACCTCGTGGATATACTACAGGTCATGGAATGCATGTCACACTGTGTGAATTATACCTTCAAATAAGAACAACCCATGCCCTAACCGGTTTGGCTCAGTGGATAGAGCATCAGTCTGTGGACTCAAGGGTCCCAGGTTCGATTCCGGTCAAGGGCATGTACCTTGGACGTAGGCACATCCCCAGTAGGAAGTGTGCAGGAGGCAGCTAATCGCTGTTTCTCTCCCATTGATGTTTCTAAGTTTTTATCCCTCTCCCTTCCTCTCTGTAAAGAATCAACAAAATATATTTAAAAAATAAAACAAACAAACAAAAAAAGAACAACCCAGAGCCCCGAGGGAGGTCCCAAGTCACTGGACACCAGGAACTGCTCTGAACCAGAAGCCAAGATAGCACTCATGAGCACCTAACACAGTGGTCACAGTAATGCCCCGACTGGCAGAGGTTGCCTTAAGCAACTAGGAATTCCAGCCCATTGCACTCCCCAGCAAGGCCCAAGATCCTCCTGTTTGCAAGCAATCAAGTCAGGATTTCAGTGGAATGTACAGAAAAGCCGTGAGAGGAACCATACACCCCAAATTACCCACCACCCAACCCCCAGGCAGGACTGGGCCTGCATCTGCATTCCTGAGCATTCTGTTTCCCACGCCACTCCCCCCACCCCCCCCACCCCCCCCTCAGCTCAGATAAGCAAGCCCAGCTTTGGAAGTGCTCCTAGGAGGGAGGGGGACAGTCTGAATGGCCATCCCTGAGCTTGAAGGTGAAGGGTGAGGTCAGGGGTCAGGGGGAAGGGGACCTCAGTGAGTGAGCTGCAGCAGGTCGCCCAGTGGGGGCACTGGGTTTGGCGGTGCAGTAACAATGCCCACCATTTGCAGAATAACAGCTGTAAAGCCAAAGCTCCAACTTCTGTGATTTGGGGCCTAAATGTGAACTCTTAGCCGCTGACCAGTCAATGGCCAGGGACCCGTGTGTACTAGCCTCCTGCTCCCTTCCAGACTATGCCTGCTCTCTGGAAGCTGAATGCCTCGCCACGTCCACCCTGTCCCCATGGCCAAAGGACTCCCAGACTCTTGGAAACTGCCCTGCAACTGCAAAGTGCAGGGACACCTCTGGTGATCACTCCTCAATTAGGCAAAGGTTCCTCAGTTAATGGACAAGTGTTCTGGGCACGTGGCCTCAGCAGCTGCTTTGCTCAATGGCTGCAGACGGCTATGGAATGCAGACATGGTATGTGGACCAGGCGCGGGGACGGCTGCCAAGAGCCGCGGAGTCAGGCGATGGTGCACTGCCTGCAACACCACGCGGGATGCGGGCCTGAGCACGGCGCTCTGTCCAGCTCCCGGATTCCTGGTCAGCAAGTGCCGGGACCAGGCAGAAGCTCCCACCTCCTGTGTAGGGCACCCATGCAAGGCAGGGGTGACAGAGGCGATGTGGAGGGCAGGGGATCTGGTATGCCACCAGCTCCTCTGCTTTCCATCTCAGAGGAGTCCAGGCCTCTCTCTCCTAGGACGGCAGCACTCTCCCAGACATCTGGGAAGGAGAAGAGGTGGCTGAGGCCCTTCCATGTGGATACGGGTGGAGCTGAACACAGAGGGGTTCATGCTGTGCGTGGCAATGATGCTTTTGAAGAAGCCATCTGATAACCCCAATGAGCAGGAGGACTCATTTTTCCTTCACTGTTTTGTCTATTCATTCATTCATTCATTCATTCATTCATTCATTCAACAAATACGTTTTGAGCCTCTACTAGGTTCCACCTGCCGTGGGGATAAAATGGTGAGCCACACAGATGGCTATTCCTGCCACGGAGCTCACTTATGGTGGGAGGTGACATTAATCATATAGTAATGATGATGGTAATAATAATAAGCATAATATTGGCATCACTATTGTTGTATGACTGTGACTCATATTGGAGTATTATTATAATACTGAAAATGTTCACTACAACTATCATGGCAGCTATGGGACACTCGATCAACCCTGTATCCCTATTAGGTTATTCAATCTTCACAAAACCTGATGGGGAAGTATCATTATTGTACCCATTTAGCAGATGAGAATACTGAGGCACAGAAGGATAAGTCCCCTGCCCAAGGCCATACATCCTGTAAGTGATAGAGCCGGGATATGAACTCAAAAAACCTGGCTCCATAGCCTTCACTCTTTAAAAAAAAATAAAAAAAAAAAATATATATATATATATATTATTGATTTTTTTACAGACAGGAAGAGCAAGGAATAGAGAGTTAGAAACATCAATGGGAGAGAAACATGGATCAGCTGCCTCCTGCACACCTCCTACTGGGGATGTGCCCACAACCAAGTTACATGCCCTAGATTGGAATCGAACCTGGGACCTTTCAGTCCGCAGACCGATGCTCTTTCCACTGAGCCAAACCGGTTAGGGTATGGCCTTCATTCTTAACCACTGAGCTCTGCCAGGTGTGTCACACACATACATGATTCCACAGCATGGCAAATGCTAGGAAGGATGCTGCAGGAGCACTGCGTGTGTATGACAGGTGTGTGTGTGTGTGTGTGTGTGTGTGTGTGTGTCTGTGTGTCTGTGTGTCTGTGTGTCTGTGTAGGGGCAGAGGGAGGGTCCGGGTTCAGGGAGCTGATGCTGGGGCAAGGGGAGGGTGAACTGACAGGAAGGATGGAGTGGTGGCTGGGAGCCTGGGCTGTGAAACTGATGCCCACCCAAGGGCTTCCTGTGATTTTGGGTAGCTGCTCTTCTCTCACTCCGATGGCAAATGGCTGGCACGTGCATCAGTATCCCTGTGACAAGTACGGGGTCTGACACACTGCTTCCAGGTCTGGGAGGCAGAGGAGGGGCACACACTGTCCCCATCACAAGGTGGGCGGGGCTATTACTGTCCCACACTCCTCGCCTGTGGGCACCTGTGTTTTACTAGTATCTGTGTCCCAGGATTTAAAACAGCGCCAGACCAAACGCATTATGAGCTCCAGCCAGTGGGGCTCACAATGAGTTTGGTGAAGGACAAGGTGAGCAGGTGACTAATGTGGGATTCTGTCAGCTGCCAGGGCCTCTGTGGGGCGACACAGAGCTCCCCCGATCCTTTCTCTCTCAGACAGGAGAGGTCTCATCATCCCCTCTGGACCTGCTCTCCAGCCACAGTAGGAGCTGGGAGGCTGATAAAGCAGGTGGGGCATCCACAGGGTCTTGCGTGTGATTTACACACTTGGAAGAAGCTGGCCTATGTCGGCAAAGCGCTTCTTGGACGAAAGGTGCTCCATAAAACATCAAGTATTCTCCTCGCGAGGGCTAAGAGCCACAAATCAGACTGGGTGGCATAAAAGGAACGTATTTATGATCCACTATCATATTGCAAATGAAATGAGCGTAATAAAAATGTCACTTATACAAATACCTCTGATGTACAGATCTCGACCTGGGAACACGAAAACAGACACCCTAGCACTTTTACTCCAATGTCTCATCATGGAAATAAATGAAGCCATGTTCCTTTTAATGTACGCACTTGTGCGTGTACCTGGAATATTGATTTCCGTGCACACACTAAAAACACTAGGCAGGAAACATGCAAAAGATGTGGATTTCAGTTAGATTCAGGAAAAGACAAAAATAACACTTTACTAAAAATTTCTTCCTGGCAATAAAAAAAAAAAAATACAACCGACAGTGCTTTTGTCCATAAAGTTTTCTAGATTCAGTCTAGCAAAGGAAGCATAATGCTCTGTTTATTCTTGTTTGAATATCAAACTCTGGGTTCTGTTTGTCTTGTCTCTTCGCCTCCTTGCTAACTGCAGGAATCACGGGCCACAGCTGGGGAGGAGAGCTACCTGGCCGCCATGCGTGGGAGAGGGCCTGTCACTAATATACAGACACGCTTAAAAGAAAAACACAAAAATATTTTCATCTGAGTTTAAAAATAATTTTCTAAATGAGCTACCCATGGATTTGAAGCCAGGTGGACCTATGATGGACAGAGACCTACTTTCCCATAATTTTAGGACTTGGGGGTAGGTCCTCAAGCACTTCA